TTCTTTTGTCAGTGGTCCCCTTGCCCTGCCCTTCTTCCTAGAGCAAACTTCCATTTCCTACAGCCCCTCAGAGCTCCCTTCTAGTTGCCAGATGGGATGCTGCCCAACGCATGAACCACTTTTTTTAAAAGTTAAATTTATTGGAGTGACATTGGTTAATAAAATTCTATCACGTGTACGGTTCTATAATACATCATCTGTATACTGTATCGTGTGTTCACCGCCCTGTGAATTCCTTAATAAGCCGATCTGATCTTCAAATTTACTTGGCTGAATTGTTTTTTAACATAGATAATTAAAAATTTTCCAGGAGCCACATTAAAAAATAAAAAGAAACTAATTATAACATATTTAACACAATGCCCCCAAATTATTATCATTTCAACATTTAAAAGATTATTCCTTATTCACCTTTTTCTTTGTACTAGGTCTTCAAAATCTGGTGCTTACGGCATCTCTCAGTTTGGACTCACCCATTTCAAGTACTAAAAGCCACACGTAGCCGTAGCCGGGGCGGAGGCAACGGCCTGCTTAGGTCTTGGAGGTCGCACACTCAACCATTTGGCTGTCAATCCCGAACACCCTTCTAAGTCTCACCCATGACCTCCTAACAGGGCGCAGGGAGAGAGCGGAGCTCAATCACACAGCGGAGAGCAGCACTTTGACCCTGGCCCTCACGCAGCTGTATCACTTGCCCTTTTCTAGGGCGGAACCTAAACAGTGCCTAGGGGTCTGGGGAAATGGTGAGCTGTCTTATCCTAAGGAATGGAGAAAGGAAGCCCAAGGCCAATGGTCAAGGCCAACCTCGAAGCCCTTTGGGCTTTAGGGTAGCTGGGAGATAGCAAGGGTGGATTCTTAGAGTCTGGGGTGAAGGTAGAGACTTAGTCATCAGACTCCCTGCCCAGCCCAACCCAGGAGAAGGGATGGGAGCAGAGTCTGCCTGTTCACGGCTGAGGCGGTTTTCACGTGCATGAAAGTTGCTGCTACTGCTGGAGACAGGCGTACCTGGGAGTCCTGGCCTAAAGGGCTCAGCTACCTGGATCCTTGCAGCGAAATGGTTCAAGCGGCCTGAATTTATGCCACTTAGATGGGCAGAGACACCCAGCTGGAGAGGCAGGTCCGCAAGCACAACCCAAATGGGCGGCCAAATAGCTATGCGGGCAGCCGCTGGAGTCAGAGCAAGCTGGGCGCCAAGACACGCCCCTGACGGTAAGAACCAGGAGCTCTCCTGGAGGGAAAGGGACCCCAAACATGTGGCTTAAGAGGAGAAATGCAAGAACACACACTGTCGATTTCAAATCCAAACACCCGGCACTTCAAACCCTGTCCGGTCCTTCCTGAAACGGGGAAGAGGCTGGTAGGCTGCCAGCGAATTGTGCCCACCAACCCGCCCACCCGTTTCCTGGGGCGCCTGCGCCACCTTTGCCTCTGGGGTCACGGTCAGGTCTGGCAGGAAACCACCCCAAACTGGGCACGTACACCCACACCCCGACATGGTCTCCCCACAGTGACCCCGCAGACAGGTGCTGGCGTCCCATTTCAGAGAGGCAGAGGCTGAGGCCTGCGCGGAGCAACGGACGACAAGCAGCCCGGAGCCAGCGGGCGGCAGCGCTGACCGCCAAACCCAGGCGATTGTCTGTCTCATTTTTTAAAATGGAAGTTGCTAGTAGTCAAGAAAAAGGAAGGGGTTAGGTTCTTTCAGGAACTCTGACCTTGACCTCTGGGTGTGTTTGAAGCATAAATAGGCCCTGCTGTGCTGGACAGAGATGGCTTTAGGACAAAGGTCCCTGGTGGCTATTAGGCATTCATTCACTAATTCAAAAATACTGACTGGGCCCCTCCCTGCTGGGCACCAGGCACAGCACTGGAGATACGAACACAAATAAGCCACACGTGTTGCCCTGGGGACTTGCCATGCAGGGATGGAGGTCAAAAACAGAGGACTCAAACCCTGTGAGTTCAGAGCAATAAATGACTTATGCTCAGGGAGTGGGAGGAGGTGCGTGGCCTTAGGGAGTGGGCCCAGCGGAAGACGGGGCTGAGGGGGGCCGGTGTGAGGTTGTAAAGGCCGAGTCGGCGTGGTACGCGAGTGGGGAGCTGGGACCCCTGGCGCAGTGGGGTGGACACAAGAGAGGAGGTGGGAAGAGACGGCTGCCAGATGGTGAAGGGCCGTGGGCGATGTGATTCTTCAGCAAGAGCAGCCCCTGACAGAGCACATACTGACGGCCAGGTGTGGCCGCAGCTGCACTTGCCTGGCGGGGGAGGCAGATCCAGGGCCAGTTGCCCCATGGATGTGGCAACAATCACTGAAATATTTATTAATTCAAATACCAACAACCAACATTTTTCTGAGCACTTGGTGCCAGGCACTGAGCTTAGCAGACACCCTCAAGTAATCCCAGCAGCCCTGCAAGGCAGCGCCGTCACCCCCCGACTTACACAAGAGGAAGCGGAGGCTTAGGGAGGACGGAGGCGGCCTGGTGAGCACAGCTGAGCTGGCTTAGGCCTGCCCAGCCGCCAGCATGCCGGCCGCCAGGCTCAAGGGTTTAGGTCCCCCATGATTGCCAGGTTGTGAGCCGGGGTGCCGCTGCCCTTCTCCCCACGGGTGGAGGTGGGGAGAGCCATCAGCAAAGGTGGGCAGAGCTGGAAGTCTGCCTGCACCTCCTCCTACACCAGAACGACAGGCACCCCCCACCCCCTGCCCTGTGTCACTCCTGACCCAGGCTGGTCTTACCAGTGAGATGTCACCTGCCACCCACTTTCAACATGGCATTTTTCTGAGTAACACCTTTTTCATTTATGAGGACTAATGAAGGTACCTTACCAGCCCCACTGAGAGGCCTTTTAGGACAACATTTACGATATACATTAACGTTTGTTTGCAGTCACAGAGTGGGTCCCCTTCAAGCCCACCGTACCAGACATCACAGAATTTCCTGCTGGATGGGTCTCCCAGTGCTGACAGGCTGCGCACAGGCTGGGGCGGTGGCCACACAGAGCTCGCATTCAAATGCCTGGGCATAAAGGACCTCAGTTCAGCATCGCATAGGGGTGCCAGTACTTCCCATTATTTGTAAAGCTCTGGAGGACGGGTGTCGCTGTGACCTAAGGCCTCCCCTTTTACACACAGGAAGATCAAGGCTCAGAGAAGTTCTGCGATTTTGCTTATTGACCTGAAACTCCAAGAGGCCTGGGGACGGTGTTCCCAGGACTGGGGGGGCTGGATGAGGGAGTTCTTTTCCTTCCTCCTGGCCCCCCACACAAATGCAGGTGCCACGCCACCACCTGGGGGACTCTGATTCTGTGCTCACCAGGCAGCAGGAAGCCAAGCGCTGCTGCTGTGTTTCAGATGGTGTGGGGGAGGGGGAGAGGCATGTGCTAGGTCCTCCACCTCCCCCCAGGCCCTCCCACACCCAGCAGCAAAACCAAAAGGGTACTGGGAGGAGCTTAACGTGCTGCAACTTTGTGTGTGTGTGAGGGTGGTGAGGGGTAGGGGCCTGGCGGGTTATTTGTGCTAGAGCCAAAGTCCAAAATAAAGGAATGGCAAACCAATGCACTCAGCACAAAGTTCAAAGTGAATTCCTGCCTGGGACCAGAGGTCATGGGTTCCTACTCCCTGGTGTCTCATCCCTGGCAGGGGTGCTCTGGCTTCTGTCCCACCCTTGCGATGCCAGCCTGGCAGCGGCAGAAAGTGGGAGCCTGGCGGCCCTGGCATTCCTGGCACCCAAGTCCGGCTGGACAGGGCTCCTCAGTGACCTCACTTCCTTTTCTTCCACTGAATCAGTTGCTCCTCTCTGGCTCCACCTTCTACCTTTAGGCTGAACTGTGCCCTTTCTCTGTCCAGGGGAAGCCCCTGCTGACACCACAGACACCTGTGCCACATGCTGCCACCAGGTGGAGAGCTGGTGCAAGCCATATGGGCCCTGGGGAGGCCCAGGCTCTGCTCCCCACAGCCTGCACCCTGAGGCCTCCCTCTTCACTGGCTTGGGTCACTGGGATCGTTTTGGGAAACACTAAACACGGGTAAAAAGCAATCAGCCTTCTTGCTGTTCTGGGGCTGGAGTGAGGCAGTTGATGCCCGGGCAAGACGACCTGCCGGAAGCGGGCTCCCCGAGCCCCTACGGCAGAGGGCCACTCGACCACTCCCTCCCCCCAGCCATCTTTCTCCTCCTCCAAGATCCTCCCGCCCGCCCGCCCGCCCGCGCCCAGATACAAGCTAGCGCTTACTCCTCACATTCCTGAGAATCATAAATCCTCCTGGGAGGCAGAGCCGCTGCCGCCGCCCCTGCGAGACCTCTGCAACACCTTCCCGCCCCCCGCCCCCACATCGCCATGAGATTGTGGAGCTTCCTCTCTTTTTCTTAAAAGTCACACCGGACTTTAGGAAGGGAATGAAGTCCAGCCGGCTGAAGTTAATGATACACACACCAGAGGGCTGGAGGAGACGTGGGGACCGGTCCCTCCCCTCCCAGCGCTGCACAGAACGGGGGGTTGTTATTCCTTTAGCTCTTTGAAGTCGGTGCCGCACTCGCTTCACCCCAACTTCAGTTACCACCCACAGGGGCCGCGGAGGAAGCCGGCGCCTCTGGGGAGGCTGGGAGTGGGGTGGCCGGAAAGCTGGCCCGGGGATGGGCTGGATTAGAGGTTTCCCAAACACCGGCGCAGACACGCCACCAACAGAGCCGAGGAAATGGGACTGACCTTTGGGCTGCCATTCCTCACTCCCACTTCCACAGGCCAAGGAACAAGAGGTGCAGGTGGCAAAAGAGCTCAGAGTGCCAGCCCAGTGTGGAGAGGGGGTTAAGGTCGTGGGAAGCAGCCCCAAGCCTGCAACTGCCAATGCGCCCTGTAGGCGGGCGGAAGCAGTTTTACCCCTCGACGATCGAGTTTCAGAAAGACAAGGCGGGCGCGGGGCTTGGCGTGCGGGCCCCCTGGGTCTTTCCCCGACACCCCTCTCACCCCGGTTCCAAACTCGCCGCCCGGCCAGGGCCCCCACTTACGCGCTCGGAATGGCTCTTTTCGGACTCACGGGGTTCCGCCACGGCTGCCTGAGCCTCATTTTCGCTGCCAGACCCTTGCGCCTCGGCGGTGGCCGGCGGTTCGGCCTGTCCGGGTCCTTCCTGGGCGCGGATCAGCTCCTCCCGGATCTGGACGCCCAGCTTCTGGAGCCGCTCGTCCGTCTCGGGGTCGACCACCAGCAGACGTACGGCATTGAGCGAGGCGCGGATGCGGCTCACCACCTGCTGGTGGGTCTCCTTCTCCACGTTTTCGCCGTTTACCTCCACCAACCGGTCTCCCGCCAGCAGCCCCGCCCTCTCAGCAGGCGAGCCGGGCTCCACCAGCCGGATGAACTGGCCCACCTTGCCCTTCTCCCCGTGCAGGTGGAAGCCGTAGCCGTTCGGACCCTTCTCCAGGCAGCAGAGCCGGGGCAGGGGCGCCCCGGCCGCCGCGTCCGCGCTCATCTCGCTCTGCGACGGCTCAGCGGCGCGACGCGAAGTGCTATCCGGGGCCAGAGACGGGACTATCCAGTCCTCTGTCAGCCCTGCAGAGCGGGAAGCTGTAAGGAGTGCCGCAAGAAACTTGCGTGCCCGCCGACAGAGCAGGTGGTCCGCGAGGGGAAGCCGAGAACTGCGGGGAGCTCAAGTACTGGCGCACCGACCAATCCCCGCCCCGCGCGGCGTCTGAGCTTTCCAGAACCCGCCCCGACCCCTCTTTCCAGGGGGCGGGGCCGCGCCGAGGGTGTGAACCAACAAGGACCAGTCAGAGAACAGAGGCTGGGGGCGCTCTGCACGGGTGAACGACCCCGGCCAATGAGGACGCGCAGGGGCGGGGCCCTGCCGCGGGCGCCGCGCCTCGCGGCGGGAGAAGAAAGAGGGCTCAGGAAGTGGAAGTGTTTGTTACTAAGTGGCCAGAGTTTAGACGAGGGGCGGGGCGAGTTCCCAGCACTGGGCAGAAGGGCCCGCCTGGGCAGAATCAGGCTGGGTTCTGATTTCCCCACCTGCGGCGGGGCTTGAGGCGAGCCCATCCGTGGGTGGAGGACCCTAAAGTTTTAACAGCCTTTTGGCCCAAACCTTCTGTGCATCTTCAATGCCGGGGGGAAGGGGAGGGGGGGGAGCTACTGTTACCGGGGAAACCGATCGCCGCTTCTGGGCTGCGAAGTTCCAGGGGTCTTAAGAAAAAAGACTGAGGTCCACCTTGGACTCAACAGAGTTGTTTGAATACCAAAGTCTTATTCTTGTGGAATCACTCTGTGTTGTCCCAGGACCTTCTTATAGGGGTGCGTGCTCTAATCCTCACTGGGACAATCTGAGGACTCGGCAGAGACTTCACGAGGCTGCCCACTGGAGACAGGCCACCTGGGGCAATGGCATGGGCATTGGCATCAGCATTTGACCAGGGAGTTGGGGACAGGCAGAACAGAGCCAGGTAACCAATCTCTGGGTACAGTCTACAGGGAAAGGAGCCTGGCTTTCCTCAATAGGGAAAGCAAAAAAAAAATGAGTAGGACAGTAATATAAGCCTTCTTTCAGCTCCTTATAGATGAGAGACAGTCAGTTAAGGGTGCGGGGACTTGTTGGGGACATTGAAGGATGAGGATAAAATGATTTTGGCAGGTAATGACAGTCCCTCAAACAAGCACTAGTGCCTCTTTCAACACGATCCCCCTTCCCCACGACCATCTCAAAGAAGCAGTGGACAGGATGTGCTTTCCAAAATACCGCAATTTAATTCTGAAAAACACAAATGCTAGAGGCCCAGGGCAGCCTGTGCGCCTGGATCCCCAGTGACCTGCCTTGGGCAAGGTCAGGCTCCTCCCTGCTCCGCCTGGGAGAGGCCTCGGAGAGCTTCCTTATCGGGGCCCAAGTTGGAGCTGCTGACACTGCTCAGCCAGCAAGATTTCTGCCTTGAAAGCAAAAGCAGTAGCCTCAGAAACGTGCAGCGCATACCTCCTTCTCACTCGTCTCCCCTTGCCCTGGTCCTGGAGAGCTGGAATGAAGGTGCCTGTGGGTCCTTCCATGCATGTCTCCTGGCCTCTTCCAGTTGCTGGGGTCAAGGCTCTGGGGGACATGTGACCTTGGCCCCCCATAAAACTCCTTTGCTGGCCCTTTCCCCACCCTAGTCTTAACCCATGTGTTTTGCACACGTTCTGGTTACCCAGAAATGGATGACCTCTCATTCCCTAACATGTCTCAATAGGAGGTTAAAGCAGTTTTGGCCCTGGAGTCTAAGAAGGGGTGTGGGAGAGGCAGCACTTGGGTGTCGGGGGATACATGTGGGGTGAGGTTTGCTCAGGTTTGCTCCCCACCTGCCCCAGGAGTTGGGGGTTTCTCTTTATCTCACTCTTTCCCTGGGAGAAAGAAGCACAACAGCCGCTTAAAGAAGCAGCCTGTGGACTGCGTATCTGCCGCAGGGATGGGGCAGGAGAATGACCTTTCCCTTGCTCTGACCCTAGGTGTCCAGGGGCAACGGTGGGAAGGAAGATAACACCAGGGACTCAGGGAGGTTGAGAAAACAGGAACCAAAAGTTTCGGGGTGCCCCATTGTGCTTGTGGGCTGGAGGGAAAGGGGTGCACCCCCTGGAGCAGGGCTGGTAAGGCCAGACGCAGTCCAACAGACCCATCCTCTGCCATTCCTCTCTGCCCCTCCCCATCCTCCAAGCTTCTGATCTTCCCTGATAACAGACAAGCTTTGGTCTAGACCCCAGCATGGGGCCCTTTATCTGGGGAAAGATCGTTCCCTGTGGAGCTGGAGGAAATGAAGGCAGGGCCTGCTTAGCATTTCTCCAGCTGGAGTGAGAGGGGGAGCAGGCGCTGCCTGCCCTCGGGCCCCAGCAGTGCTTGTTTCCTGGTCAGGAGCTGGAGCAGTACTGCCCTCAGCACCGGTATGAGGAAGGCCCACCCCTGAGTCCTAGGGTACAGTAGAAGGCAAAGGGCCACCAGGTCCCTACCGTGGTTTTCGGGTGCTGCTTTTTCCTGTGTTATATTGTGTATCACTAAAATGAAATATAAATATTTTACCCTCCCAGGGGATGCAGAGAAGCTACAGGAACTGGAGCAGGGGCGGGGTATAGCCCCCAATTGGGAAGGGGCTGTTCACGGGGTCCCCCCACTCTTTCCCCAATGGCTCGGTGTCTCAGAATCAGGCCAGTCTGGGGGAGAAGGCTGTATCCACGTGGGCCTTTGGAGCCTCCTCTCAGCCCCTGGGGATTCATGAGAAGGAGCAACAGCTGGGCCGCTTCTTCTGGGACTCCACGTAGTCTCGGATCTGGAAGCTGGGTTCGCCCGCCTGCTGCCGGGCTCTGTATTTCAGTTCCCTTGAAGAGGAGGAAGCAACGGGCTGGGAAGGGAGGAGGCGCAGGGCATCCTCCCCTCTCCCAGGGCCTGGGGCAAATGGGCCTCAGAGTACAGAATACAGTTGAGCTCAGGGGCTGGGCCAGAGGCCAGGCCCTACCGGATTCCCTGAGGGTGCCACCCTGCCCTGCACGGTCCCCTTCCCTGCTCAGCTCTCACTTGGCGATGGCCAGGAAGGCTAACTCCACATTCATGCCCGTCTTGGCGCTGGTCTCCATGAAGGGAACTCCATACTCCTGCCAGGGAGAGTGTCCTCAGGGTCAGCCTCTGGCGGCCCCCACCTGCCCCCCTGCCCACAGACAGCCACTTACCCTGGCCAGCATCTCTCCGTCCTCCGAACGTATCACCCTTCCACTGCTCACATCCGCCTGTCAAGCCCAGGTGGGTCACTCTGGGGAAGGAAGCCTTGGCCCTAGCAGGCCCCTCTCCTGCCCCTGCCGGCCCATCTTTTGCCCCAAAAGCAGTCCCTGCCCGCCCTCTGCTGGTGGCCTGTGGGACTGCGAGTGGTATGATTGGCGTGGGACCAGGGTTTCCACCTGGTTCCTGCAGAGTTCCTCAGCTCCCCACCCTAGGACCTCACTCCCACTTGGGAAGGGTATGGTGACCCAGCCTCAGAGGGGTGACAGTAGTTGGGGCTAACCCTTTCTGGTCTTAGCTCCACATCTGTGACCCTAGTCACTAACAACCTAACGGGGGCCGTGAAGCTGGGCAACCTTAGATCTCACAAGGAGCAGCTTGAGCTTTCCCTGTGGAGGGCCATTTCCAAAACTTCCCGAGGGCAGATGAGATGGGCTGAGGCCACCACCACGTAGGGGTGACCCCTGAACTGGAGGCTGGAAAGAGTCCTTTGCTGGTAGGATGTCCAGCTAACACTCTGGGGCAGCGATGAGGCTGGGTCAAGGTCGTGCTGTGGCACGGAGAGGAGAGGAGGTGCGGGGTGGGCTGGCCCTGCCATGGAGCCACTCACCTTGTTGCCTAGCAGCATGATCACCACATCCCTCTGGGCATACTCATGAATCTCAGTGAGCCAGGCCTGTCGGAGGGGCGGGCAGAGCCAGACTTAGGCTGAGCACCAGCCGTTCTCCCCCTCCCTTTTGCCCTTCCTTCTGCCCTCCTTGGTTATCCTGGGCTACTCGCTGCCCCCCCCGGCACGATGCCCTGTGCACTGTCATCTGCATCCTTGCTCTGGCCTCTCTAGTCCTGGGTGGCCCCAAACCCCATCCCTGCAACTCCACAACTCGCAACTCCGAGTTCTATAGAGAGGGCAGGGGCTTTGTCTCACAAATCTGTTGGTAGTCACCAGCGATTTCCTGTTGAGGATTCTAAGGTCACATCAGGGCTCAGGGACCAAAAGTACTGTGACTGAGCCCTGGCTGGTGTGGTTCAGTGGGCTGAATGGTGGTCCCGGTCAGGGCACATGCCTGGGTCGCAGACCAGGTCCCCAGCTGGGGACATGAGAGAGGCAACCGATCGCTGTTACTTTCGTGCATCACTGTTTCTCTCCCCCTTTTTCTCCCTCCCTTCCTCTCGCTGTAAAAATAAATAAATGGAATCTTAAAAAAAACTGGGGGCGGGGGATTGTGATTGATTAGTAATGTCTGCCATGCGCACGGAGTTGGAGGTCGCAGTAGGAGGGCCATGGATTTCCACCCTCTTGATAAGCTGCTTTATATCTTTATGTCTTCTTCCCCCCATTGGCTTGTCAGCCCCCTGAGGTCAGGGAGCATGTGAAACCTTTTCGGTGCTATGCACGGAGTCAGTATTTGTATTTGTTGAATCATTATTTTTTTCTTCAATAGTTTGGTTGTGTGGACAGAGCCACCGCTTGCCTGAGTCACTTTCTGGCTGCTGGGGCTGGATGTGTGGATGGGCTTATCTGCTTGGGCTCTCCCCTTGGTCTCTGGGTAACTGACCAGGGCGGAGCTGGGTACTTTCTGAACTTTTGTCATTAAACGCGCTCATGAATCACCGTCAGGGCCAAGCAGGTGGCAGAGGCACACAACAGCCTGCATGGCCTTGGTGCTCATGTGCCCATCAAATTACCCAGTGGCAGTTTATCCCTCTGAGTCACAGCTCAGGTATGTTTCCAAGTCAGCAGTGTTCCATGCCCCACCCCCTTCCCACAAAGCAGGAAGCAGCTGAACTTCACAGGCCCTGCCTGGGCTGCTATGGGCGGTGGATGGGGGACTTACCCGGATGTTGTCGAAGGAAGACTTGTTGGTGATGTCATACAGCAGGAGCAAGGCTGGAGGGGAGAGAGAGATCACGTAGGGGACTTGGGGCAGAAGGGCGGATGTCCCAGGTGGGCTCGAGAAAGAGGTGGCGTGCACGGGGGACTGACCTTGGGCATCTCGGTAGTAAGCGTGGGTGACGCTGCGGAACCGCTCCTGCCCTGCAGTGTCCCAGATCTGGGAAGGAGAGACAGGTGGTCAGGGGAGGCGGGGCAGGGACGGTGGTGGGCAGAGGGAACCCAGGCCGCGGTCCGACATGTGTGTGGGAAGGTGGCATCTTCCCTTCCCTAGGTTCTCACAGGCTGCTGAACACCTGACGATGTTGTGCCTGGTCACAGTTACCGAGCTCTCAAGCGTATTCAGTGCTGTCGCCTCCCCCTAGCCCAGGGGCTGGGGAGTCCAGCTTCTTAGAGCAGATGAGACCTGGGGAGCAGGGGAGGAGAGGGAGCAGGACGGAGTCTGTCTGAAGGCACTTCGAGCTGCCTTTGCTAGAAGAGAGAGTGTCTGGGAACTGCTTTTTCTGCAGACTTCAAACAAACAAAGGCTTGTTGTTCCTTCTTGTAGGCCCACAGGAAGTTAGCCTAGGCTGAGGGCAGGGCCACAGACCTCCTGCGGTTGGGGTGGAGAGCGAGGGCAGGCCCCTCCACCCGCCACCCGCCACCCGCCACCCGGCACCCAGCACCCGCCGCAGAACCTCCGGTCTCACCTGCAGCTTCACCCTCACACCATCCACAGTCACCACCTTGTTCTGCAAGAGAAAAGAGAAGAGGGAGGAGTGGTCGGAGTGCAGGGGAGGCTTGGCTCCTGCCCTCTGCCGACACCCTGCTGAGGAGCAAACATCCTGTCCTGGTCCCTCCCTGGGGCTAGAGGGGGTGTCGCGAGTTTGAGAGGTATCTTCAGGCATATCACCCCAACAGGGCCGTGGTACCCTGGCCCCAGATACTTCCCCTGAGGAGCCCTCTCTTCTGGGAGTGCCGTCTGCTCTTCTCAACACGCCAGGGTAAGGCCTGGCTCTCCCCAGGGCTCGGCAAGGGACGCAGGGCTGGGAACTGGGGACCCCGCCCATTCCCACTTCCACCTGCCTCTCCGGGAGCTCGGTCCCATCCTGCAGCCAAGCTCCTGGAGATGAGATGCCCACCAGCATCCCGGGAACCTTCTCTAGCTGCCCATTAATTTTCCTAAGTGGAGCTTCATTCCCCTCCCACGGCAGCGGCGGGGGCACCCAATGTCTGATAGATGCCCCTGCCGGGGTCAGACCTTATTCTCCCGGACCCTCTGGGTGTACAGCGCTCAGAGTGCTCACTGAGTACCCTGATGCAGATTTGGTAAGACGCGATCCTCCAGGAGAGAGAGGGGACCCTGGTAAGCTGCTCTCTCCCTGCCTGGCCAAGCGAGCTCTGCAGCCTGGGGCAGGGCTGAGCTCCCTGGCACACCAGGGAAGAGCGGTGGGCTTCTGAGGCCTTGCCAGAGGGGCCCCGGTGAGGGTCCTGAGCAATGGGACTGAGGGCCAGGAAGCTCAGCTCACACCATGGGATGCGTCTGCGCAGCTGAGGGGCAGAACTTTAAGACTCAGTCTCTCATTTTTCATATCCCGTAGTGGGGCAAGGAGCCCACCAAGCCCAGACTCCTCAAACCTGGCCACCTCAGTGGTCCCTGAGGTGCAGCCCTTGTGAGCCACCGCTGTTCTGCAGAGCCAGGGTTGGCAAGGAGAGGGCGGCACCCCTGCGCCTGAGCTGTAACCCCAGGCTCGCTCCTGGGAGGCAGAGCCTGCAGCCACCTCACCCTGAAGTCTATGCCGACGGTGGCTATGAAGGTCCCGGACAGGAAGGCCCCGTCTTTGAATTGGATCAGGAAACAGGTTTTCCCGACGCCTGAGTCTCCCAGAAGCATCACCTAGGAGATGGGGGCAGAGGCAGTTAACGGGGACTTGGATGCATTTCTGGGCTTCTGGGGAGAGAGGCCCTGGACAGATGGGCAGAAGGTGAGGGGAGGATGCGGACAGAGCCGGGGGGCCATCTGCTTCTGGAAAGCCTTCTGCCGCCTGCCCTCTGCCGCGTCCTGTGCACACTGGCCTCTCAGGCTCTCCCTCTGACCCTCCTTCCTTGCCCGATTTCCTGGAAGCTTGAGTTGAGCCTTCAGCACTAACAGGTGTCCAGCTGTGTTCAGCGGCCCTACGCAACCACCTTGCCTGACTCGGACACTTCTGTCCCTGCCACACCATGCCCGCACTCCTTCCCACTGCACGCGCTCCAGCCACGCCTGAGAGCACGCGAGGGCGGGGCTATGCTGCCCGGGAAGGGAAGTGTTACTACTTGGGATAAGATTCCCACCGAAGGATCTGATGGGGGTGGGGTACTGCCGTTTACAAAGGCTTATCCCCGAATTACTATTGTTTGAGTTCTTTTTTTTTTTGTGGTCACAGCATTTATTTGGAAGTTTCTGATGATGTTTTATGTTTATAGGAAGGTCACATGACTTAGGGGAAGTTCAAATTTATATTGAGCTGGGGAGATATTGAATCTGAAGTTCCTTCAGCAGAAACCTCCCAAGTGGGATAAATGGCTGCAAATTGGCACTGCTGGGTCACTGTAGGGCAGGGGGTGTGGGGCGGTGCGGGGTGTCCCACCCTTTTCTGGCTTGGCCAGTCTCTGCCCATCTTCTCTGGGGAACATGGCATGGTGGGCGGGGGTGGGGGAAGGGAGCCCTCTGTCCAGATATTCCTCAGAATCAGAGAACAGAGGCCCGGACCTAGTGCTGGAATTTTCCCAGCTGGCCAGCTAGATACTTCGTGGGTTGAGCAGGGACAAGGTTTGAGCTATTCTTGATGCTCTGGCTGTCACAAAGGCTCTCCTGCAGCACACGTGGGGTGCTGGGATTAGCTAATGGGGGCTGAGCGAAAGGCATGTGAAGGCTGGGGTTCCTGCTTGTAAACGGCTCCCTGGGGGACTTTGGAAAGATTCCTTAACCCCCTGTGGCATTGTTCCCACAGTGGTGAAAAGGAAGGAGGGGTAGTTTCTTTGAGGCCTGTCTTGGGTCTATTAATCACTAAGACCACTAATGGTGGCAGGAACCGCCTGAGGCTTCCTAAGCGTGGCCCAGGGGGGCACTGCCTGCCCGGAGCCCCATCCCTTCTAACGCAGCCCCAGGAGCTCCCGCCAGGCTCCTCCCAGGCCATCCTGGATCGGACTCTTGCGGCAGGTTCCAGGCGTGCAGGCTAGTGGAGGCCAGGGGCCCATTCTCCACAGATGCTGCTTGGCCCAGGGGACAGACGGAGGGGCTGCGGGCCCCTCTGCAGCCTGCAGTGCTCCCTGGCTCCTGGGTCCCAGCCCCCAACAGGGAGGTAAGGACGGTGAGCTCCTGTGCACATTGCAGATCACAGCTGCCTTGAGCAAACGATGTCAGCCACCACCAAGCCGGGCGAGCCACTGAGCACAAACAGCTGCCCAGCCTTGCCACCTCCTAGGCAAACAGCTGGGCCGCGGCGTCTGGCGAGGAGGTCAGGCTGTCCCCTCACCAGCCCCGGAGCCTGGCCCTTAGCAGCTTCCCTCCCACTGAAGGCTCAGGGGCCCATTTCCTGCCGAGAGCCCGCACAGGGCTCCTATCTCAACGGCTCTGGGCGCTCGGGGCGGGTGACTTGCAGAGCCATTTCCCCTGAAACTGTGAGGGTGGAGGCCCCGGGCTCCTTGCTAGACCAAGCCCCTGTGTGTGGGGACGAAAGCAAGGCACAGAGAGAGGCAGGCCTCTTTCAAAGCCATGCGGTGTGAGACAGCGCAGCCTCCTCACAGAGCCTAGAAGAAGCGTGGACGCTCAGGGCTCCCTCAGCACCTCCTTCAGAGTTCCTGGTATCTGCCTGCTCCAAGGGCACGGGAGGTGGGACGGACCACTGCCCACCGCCACCCTCACCTGCTCCTCTACAGGGTCACCCTGTAGAGGGACTGAGCCCCAGAGAGTTGACTTACACTCTCCCAGGAGGGGGACTTGTGATTAACCACTGAGGTCTTTCTCAGGTTCTAAAAATTCCCAGGAGGGCCTCCGTTCTGGGTATCAACGTCCTCCTGGAAGAAGGGGCGAGGCAATGGTGGAAAGGGAAGAGGCAGGACTTGCAGTTGGCAGAGGACCTAAAGAGTTTCGTGTCTAAGGAGTCTCAGCTGAGAGCTTAGCTGGGAAAAGCTCAAAACCTCAAGTTGCTCCGCCGCCAGGGGGCATCCTCTCTGGGTGTCCAGGTGTCCAGGCGTCCAGGCATCCCTATCTCCTAGCCCCTCGGGTTGCTGCGTCCAGGAGAGTTAACCCTTACCGAGAAGCATGGGGGTCCCCGGGGACTCATATTAGCCGGAGTGTGGCAGAAGAAAATTGGGCTGGGGAGTCGCTTCTGAGCTTCCTCTCCCAGCCCCGGCAGAGCCAGCCCCGATCCCAAGAGGTTGGGATGGGCCTAGGGGCCATGCCTCGACCCTCCCTTTCTACTCTGGGACGCCTGGCTGCCTCGGGGAAGAGCTGAGTCCGACGCAGGCGGAGCCAGAAAGGCGCTTGGTCCCGGGAGCCCCAGGGTCTTAGGGCAAAGGGAGCGGGGAGGGGTGGCCCTAGAGCCGGCACAGGAGTCCCCAGCGCTGAACGCAGTGCCCACCCACCTTGCGGGTGAGGTCGTAGCTCGGACTGCTGGGCAAGGAGAGCTCGGAGACCTTGCCATCCTGGGTGGCAGCGGCGGCGCCAGGCTTGCCCGTCATGTCCCTGGACGAGAGGTGAGCCGGGGCCGGTGGCGCGCGAGGGACAGCGCAGAGCAGCTCCGCCTTAGCTCCACCCACTCCTTCCATCCTCCACCGCCCCGGTCGAGACCCCGACAGGCTCCTCCCTCTGTCCTGCCACCCCAAAGACACCGGCGGGAACCGGCTGTCCCGCCAGGGCGCGCAGGACTGCCGGGTCAGCCCCCGCGGGGCGGGTGGGCTCCCTTACCAACACTGACCCGACTTCCTGCTCTGAGGGCGTGGGCCGAAGCCATCCCTAGGTTAAGTTCCCACGGGTAGCGGTCCCTGGAGACCCCGCCGCTGCGGAAGGTCTGGCATCTTTGGGACCCCGCGCACCAGCGCCTGGGTTTCCGCCGTCGCTGCGGAGCGCGCCCAGCAGGCGGCGCCCGAGCCCAGCCAGCTGGCGATCAACAGGTGGCCCCGGGGGTGGGGTCCAGGAGAGGCTGAGACGGCCCTGCCCAGCTCGGCGCTGCGTTTGACAGAAGGCGTACATTCTGAGGAAAGCGCCCAGGCAGTATCGCTTTTATTAACGCAGCCCTGCCCGAGCGCATGTAAATACAATTTTATTTACCGACCGATATTCACCTTGCAGTACATGGCCCTGGCTGGCTGGTGCTCTGACTTTGACCCTCTGGTGTAGGTCGCCTCTCATTTCTCCTGACCCGTTGGACTGCGTCCAGAAGGTTCCACCATGGGACAGCCTTCCCTGCACAGCCCTACTAATCTGGGTGCTTCTGAGGGCAGGGCTGGCCTTATGTCCCATGACCCTCCCCCTTTGGCAACTGATAGGCCTTAAACATTTGTTTTCCAATGGATCCATGGCCTCCTGAGCAGTCTCCAGGGTGTCCCAGGAATGCTGCGACTCCTGGTGACGGGGGTAGGAGTGTGTCCTGGGTTGCCCACCACAGCAGAGTCCAGGGGCTCTGTGACCTGGGCCAGCCGTTCAATTACACCCGTCCATTTTATACAAGCGCTTTCAGCTTGCCAAGCGCAGCATACGGGACAGGGCGGTGCCTTATAGAGGGACTATTTGAGGGGTGCGAAGGGGGGAGGGGCACCTGCACCTCTACCTAGGTGTTGGGGGTGAGGGCAGGTGGCGGGCATGGCTGATGGGTGACTGCAGGCCTTTGGGGACCGTGGGTGCACCTGCCTCCAGCCCTGTGACTTTCGGAATCAGCTGGAGTTATTTTCTGGAGGCGAGCCCTCCGTAGCCTCATCAGTGCACGGGTGGGACTCCCACAGGGAGCCACGTGTGGGAGAGGAGAAGCGGCAGGTTTGGCGGATTTAGACTTTGCAATGCAGTCGTGAGCCACTGAAGGTGTCAGGCGGGGGACAGTGGAGTTTGCATCGGCATTTGGGCAAGACTGGAGAGTTCGGGGAACACTGGGGCAAGAAGTAACAAGGAGGACCCGCACTGGGCTGGCTAGGAAGGCTACTGCGTGCGTGGACCCCATCGATGTCCCCACCCCAACAAACCCGTCTGCTGGACCGGCCAGCCAGCTCGATGGAGCTGGGGAAGACCTTGATTTGAAAGGCATCCACACAGGACCCGGGCAGGTGCCACTTCCAGAAGGCCACAGGCCTGGTGGCTCCAGAGGCATTGGGGTCTGGCCTGAGGGCCCCCTCGTAGTCACCCCCTCTCCCGGTCTCCTTTAAAACGGAAGCCCCAAGCCTCCTCCTTTCTCCTGCTGCTCACGCTGCTCTCAGCCTTATGAGCTGGCCACGCACGGGTGTCAGAGGCCCCTGTGTCTCAGGTACCCTGCTGCGGGAATTCAGGCCCCAGCCGCGGGCCAGCAAATTGCCAGCTGTAAGCAGCACTGGAAATCTCCATGTGAAAGACAGTCTTGGAGCCCGGCTCTCCAGGGACCCCGGACCACTGATATTCGAAGGAGGCCCCGGTGTCCTCTAGCCCCTTTGCCCAGCGGGCCACGCGAGACTTCCGCGGAGGTGCAGAGAGCCGGCTGCTCTGACCAGAGGGTTGGAAAGAGGCCTTTCTCTGGGGAGGAAAGGAGTAGAGGGCCCTCAGCATAGACAGAGGAGCAGGCAGGGGGCTTGTGGAGGAGACAGACATTTGCAGCGATGGCTAAAAACCTCTTCGTAAATGAGCAGCTGTGTGCAGGCCCAGGGTCGGCCACGTGTCCTCAGTGTGGCTCCTACCACGAGCTGCTCTTGCTGCCCCGTGCCACCAACATATGGGGCCCCCTGGGTTTGTGTTCCCGCCAAGGAGCAGGGTATGTGTCCATTTGTACTCCCAGGTCATTCACTTGACCCAGGTGTCCACAGGCTCGGGCTCTCCCTCAGTGTAAGCCACCCGTGGGCTTGGCCCGAGTGAATCAAAGCTTCCTGGGGCCGGCCGGTGCCAAGCAAACAGCGGGGCTCTAGCAGGCCAGCCTGGGGAGAGAGGGAGAGCCCGGCTCTCAGTGTGACCACACACGTTCTTCCTTGCCACCCGCGGGTGAGCGGCCTCGCTTTCCTTACCAGGCTGGCGGCCAAACACGGAGGGAGGCCCCACCTTGGGCACCTGTGCAGTGAATCTGAGTCTGTGCGCCCATGACCAACCCACCTCCACCCCCCACTCTGCCCCCGAGTGCGACAGGCCGGAAGACTTGAGTGGGACTGTGAGGGGACAGCCCGGGCAGGGGCCGTGGTGGGGGCGCCTGGCACCAGATGAGCTGGCTCACTGACCCGGATGACCTCAGAGGCCTCGGGGCAGCCTTTGCTCTCCTGGGACACAGCCTGGCACCCCGGAGCCCAGATGCTCCCAGGGGCCGCAAAGCCCGGGGAGCTGGTGTTTCAGGCTCCGCACCCTGGCTGGGCTCCCATTTCTGTTTCACTTTGAAACCCCGTCAATCATGAGCCCTTGACTTCCTGTCTGTGACCCACAGGGCAAGCTCCATTTCTGGGGTTCCCCTTCTGTTTTTCCACAAACGTGACCCTACTCTGTCCCAGCTGCATGTGTGGCCTCGCAGGCCTGTGCTCTGCTTGGTCCCGGAAGCTGTCTTCTCAAACACCACGGCTGCCCAAGAAATGACATTTGCTCTTCCCCAGGATTCTGGAGACCCCCAGGAAGGGCCCTGCAGCTGCTGAGACTAGTCTAAGAGCCACACCCTCCCCAGAGGCTTCCGTGGCCTGGGTTACTGAGAGCGGCTGGCAATTGTGGGGACAGCGAAGAGACAGGCGTGGGGTGGAGGGAGGCCTTCTTGGCCCACAAGGGGCTGTGGGTTAGGAACATTTCTTCAATCTGAGCCGCCCCTGCCCCATGCTGTGTCAAGGGAGAAACCAATTGCTAAAAATGAAAGTTTCACTTTTGACCAGCCGGTGCCCTAGAACCACAATTTTACGATGGCGCTGTTTTTAAAATGTTAAGCCCTGCCGTTGCCTCTTCAGGTTCTTAGTGCCCTGGAAGGTGGGCCAGAGCAATTTGTGTCAACACATCCCCTTGCTTTCCAGCTGCTGGTGTGTGTGGATGATGGGGAGCCCCGCAGGAGCGGGGGGCGGCGGGGGGGGGGCACTGGAGAGGGGCAGGTCACTAGGCGCAGCGCGTTCCTTGCTCCCCACCACCAGGGTCGCAGCTCCAGCCCGCCAGCCGGCTCCGTGCTGCCCTCTCTGCCCCTGGGTCTGTGACAGCTCCCTCCAGGCACCTTTTTTAGGCTGGGGTGGGGCGGAAGCCCTTAGCGACCCCACGCAGGCGCCATGCCTCCCAGTCTCCCGCCATCCCTGCCTTGGTAAATACTCTTTTTATTAAACCTCCTTGAATGATCTGACGGAGCGCCCGTGTTTCCTCCTGGGGCGCAGACAGAGGCCAGCCAGGGCCCCGGAGGAGGCTGGGAGCACTTACTGTGAATCCGATGCCCACGGTGGCCGAGAAGGAGCCGGGGATGAACTTGCCCTGGTCGAACTGAACCAGCAGAGATGTCTTCCCCACGCCGCTGTCGCCCACCAGGATGGTCTGGAAGGGGCAACAGAGAGGCGTGAGGGCCTGCGTGCGAGCCGGGCTTCTGTGAGGAGGGTGTGGCCGGACCGTGGGTTCCTAATAAACATACATACACACGTATGCACGGAGAGAGACACACACACTCACACAGATGCTCACAGGGGTGCACACACACAGGGGGACACACGTAGATGCACGATGTGTGCACACATAGTGAGTACACATACAAACTCACACAGAGAGAGACACACTCACACAGACGCACATAGGCGTGCACACTCACGCAGTGGGTACACACAGACACACAGAGATGCACTCATACATGCAGATGCACACACAGAGGGTACCCCCCCCACGCCAAACTCTTCATTGCCTGTTGACGTCACTGAAGATGGCATGAGCGCAGAGGAAGCCTTGGTTCCTCCCAAGTGGACAAACATCTGAGTTGGCCGTCCAGTGTGCTTGTCAGCCCGCCAGGCACAGGGCCGTGGGGCAGGGGCAGGGCTGCGCCCGCGGTCCAGCGGAGGCGTGTTTGCCCTGAAGCCACCTTCATAGGGAGGTTCCACCGAAGGTGGAGCGAGGTGGGGACGCTGGGGCACGCCTCGTGTCTGTGAGACACATGACTACCCTACTGGCCAATTTTGGCTGCAGGACCTCCTCACGGTTTTACAGAACCGTCCAGAGACTGCATGGTGGTCTTGGGCACCCACAGGCAACCTCCCTGGCCTCTTACTTGAGGTCAGACCTACGTCAAGGTCTGACGGCTCTCCCTGCCACTCCTGGTTTCTGCCTGCTGTTTCCCCTAATTAAATCCCTGCACATCTAGTTCCCCCTTGACATCTGCTTCGTGGGAGACCTGGACTAGCACCATGGACCTCCTGTATGGGAAAGTCTGAAAAAATAGTCTATAGAATAAAGAAAATCCACACACCTTGGGAACTGTGTGCCCTTGGCCCCGAAACAAGGCATTGGAAAGAACAGAATTTCAAAGAGAAGCAGAGTCTGGGGAAAGAAGAGAAAGCCACATTGTCCTGGGAGGAGGTGGGGACAATTGGTGTGGCAATTCAGGTGCTGTCTGTGAAGGAAACTCAACAGCAGCAGAGGAGAAATATGCGGGGTGGGGCAAAAGCAGGTTTACAGTTGTTCGCGTGGGAAATAACACAATAATAAATACATAATAACACAAGAATATACTCCATGTTTCATGGACTCACGACTGTTAACCTTTTGCCTCGGCCTGTGCCTGCCCCCGAGGGCTGGTGCCCAGCTGTGTCCAGCGAGTGAGTAAATGGATGAATAAGTGAGTGGACAAATGCCTACGTTTCAAAGCGGACAAGGGCCACTTTTCAAAGGCAAGCCTCCGAGGCTGTTGGGAAGGCCGAGGAGACACCGACTTAGGTGGACTGGCAAAAACATAAAGATGTCAAAATACAAGGCTGTGGAAGCATAGGGCTGCCAGGCCCTCTGTGGGTTAGCTCCATGGCCCAGGGCCGCTGACCTCTGACAGCGGTGTCGCGAGGGTGGCAGGTAGACAGCAGTTGTTCGTGGTGTTGACTGCATTTTTCCCTGCCCCCACTTCCCGAACAGAATTCTACCCAGCTCTTATTTCCTCTTGGGTAAAAAGGCTCCACTTGTTTGTATTAGGTAGTGGCTTTACTAATTTACATCCCAAATCCAACTTCCTCAGGCTTGAGGAAGAGAGAATGTTCCAGAATGTGCTGTGTCCCTCTATTGATGTCCACCTCATTTGTTCATTTATTAAAGGATATAAAAGATTCCAATCCTTGTCCTTGCATCCTTTCCCTTTCCAGGGTGAAGAGTTCCCATCACTTCCTTCTCTCATCCTATGAAAACAGTGCCATCTTATCTTCTTGGGACCTTTCCTAGTTCCGTGGGACCGTGGTCTGGGGTGACAGGGCTCAGCATTTCAGGTCCAGCTGTGTCCTGCCTCGTGCCCGGGGCAGGGCGATGCTCTCACAGGGGCCTTTCTAGAAACGGCAGCCCCGTGCAGAAGATCCTCCCAGGAATCGGCGGGTGACTCTGAGCGCGCTCCTCTGGGTCCCGGGGGGAGCTCAGAGCCGATTGGTCTGCAAATGCCATAGAATTATTTCCCTGTAAATCCAGGAGCGCCCTTAGACCTGGCACCTCCTCCGTTTGTGCCGCTTTCCACGAAACAAGTGGTCCATAGGCCCAAAGGCCATGCCCCTGCTCGAAGCCGAGCTCTGCCCCAAGCTCCCCGCTGGTGGTGCGGGCACATGTCTGAGGACTGGCCCAGGCGGCGCTGTGCAAGGTGGGGACAAGGCTTGGAGGCGAGGCCTGGGTGTCCACATCATTCCCCCGAGGACCTTCAGGGCCAGGAGTGGCTGCCGGTGGGGGGCCGAGGACTGGGGGATGGCTGTCACCGGGCTGCCCTGTTTTGGTGCAGAACCTCTGAGATTCCTGCATTCAAACTTGGCTTCCAGATCAGTAGGAAGGACTATATGTCAAGGTACAAATGCAGGACACACTTGATTTGATAGTTTTTAAAGTTTGTTTTATTTAGAAATTAAGATATTGAGACACATGGCTTATGGGCCTTCCTCTGTATCCTGGTCCTGGTGCTACAGATGTGAGGGACGGGTCTGCCTGAATCCTTGGCCTTGGATGCACCGTGGAGTGCGTCTCTCCACGCAATGGCTGCCAGGATTTTCCAGACATCGACTTTTTCCCCACTTATTTATGCGTTTGTTGGTTGCTTCTTGCACGCGCCCTAACTTGGGATTGAACTTGCAACCTCGGTATACTGGGACAATGCTCTAAGCAATTGAGCTACCTGGCCAGGACTTCATTTTCTCTTCTTTTAAGCTTTTTTGTTTACATCTCTATTTGTGCCTCGTCCACTTCCAAAAGGAATTTGAAGCAGTTTTAAACAAAACTCACGTATACAAGAGGGACAGTTAAAGATACTGCCTGGGCAAACCTTCCTCCCAAGAGTGAGGCTGCGTCGAGATTTCCTGGCAGTCAAGACAAAAATGGGAAACCAGATAGGGTGCGTGGTTCTTGTTGCTTGACGAGGAATGCCCGTGTCCTTTCATCAGTGAATGTTTCCTCCTGGCATGCGAGGCTGAGAAGACTCTGTTCTGTGGGTTCTTGCACGAGGGGCCTTGAGTGACAAAGCGGGCAATTGGAATTTCGCAGAAGGTGCAAACTGGGAACTGGGCTAATGCTGTCTAAGCGCCTTGCTTTCCCAGGACTTCAGCGTCCAGAGAGAATGTTTATTAGAGAATCTAGAGGAATGGGGTAGTTATCATGGCTCCTAAAGCGCCCCTGAGTGACCCCCTTCACAAAACAGGAAGTTCAGGTGCCGTAAAGAAAGATAGATAGATCTGACTGTGTAGAAATAAAAACGTCTGGTTGACAGAAGATACCAGAAACAAAATCAAATGGAAAATGATAGAGGGAACATACACGCGAAACCTATGACAGAAAAAGGATTAATATACTTACTACATAAGGAGTCCGCAAAAGAACATCTCAATAGAAACATGAACAAAGGATATGAGTTTCTGTATTTTGAGTGTGTGTGTGTGTCTGGTTAGTTTTGTGCGAACTTGGCCAGGCTTTTTCACCCAGTTACTCAATTGAACACTAATCTAGGCGTTGCTGTTTGGGCATAGCATAGAGTGATTAATAGCTGTAGTTAGCTGTCTCGTGTAAGTCTTCACTCATTCGGGTGGGCCCCATCCAGCTCGTTGAAGGACCTCAACAGCAAAACTGAGGTTTCCCCGAGGAAGAAGAAATTCTGCCTTGCGCGGTGGCATCAGCTCCTGCCCGAGAATTTCCAGCCTGCTGGCCTGCACCGCGGAGTGTGGACCCGGCAGCCCCTGCGGTCAAGTAAGCCAATGCCTTGGACTATATATACATATCAGTGTCTCTGTCTATCTATGTATCTACCTATCCTTCTGTCTCCTGATGGTTCTGTTTCTCTGGAGATCCCTGACTGCTACTACGTAACATTTAATGGTTTGATAACAGTTTGACAATGGTCAATACTGGCTGACACTTGGGCGGCAGGCATCACACATCCTCCCCTGGTGGGAGGATACATGGCGGGGACTCTTTGGAGAGCAACTGACAATATCCATCCAAGTTACAAGTGCAAATGCCTTTGACTTGGCAATTCCATTGCCTTACCTGCAGAAGTGCGCTAAGAGAGGCATGCAGGAGCGCTCCTCACAGCATCAGTGAGAGCAAATAATTTGGCAGTTGGGGCTGGTTAAATAAACTCTAGCATATCTGTACCAAGCAGCAGTGTGAAGCTGATTAAAAAACGAGGTAGACCTGTGCGTGCTGTTTGGGGAAAACAGCATCGTTGAGCGCGAGGAGGGGCAGAGAGGCAGGCTGCACGGTGGCCTGTGTCCTCCCTTGCGGTGCACCCGCTGCTTACGCTACGTGCGCTTTTTTCAGGGAGCCCGCAGAGGCAACAGTGGCACTTCTGAGGTTCTGGGGGTGGTGACGAGGGGAATTGAAGAAGACTTATTAAACTGTTCATTTTCTTTCTCTGTTTTTTTAAAACCATGTTTGCTTTATCTTTAGAAAAAAAGTGTTGAGAGGAAGCAGAGTTTGCCACCACAAAGTATGCTTTTTGGGACGTTGACTACTTAAAGCTGGTTATTTTTAAGAAACACAAGACTCGGAAAGAACCTTGGACCTTCTGCCTAACTGCCTAGAAGAGTTTAAATAGAGAACCTGCTCCAGGAAGGGCGCTATCATCGTAAGTACTGACAGGTTAATATGAACTGCGTTGCTAGATACACAGGAACCTAGCAAGGCCTGTTTGATCAAAGTCCACTCCGTGTCCCCTTGTTAAAGATGGCCCAGCAAACATTTGTTTATCAAACATTTGTTCTTCCATCTCCATGTGAATTGCTTGTCTGACCTTGGAAGTCCCAAACCACTACCCATCCCCTTTCTTCTTAGCTCAAGATGGTGTGTAAGTCCTAACTGCCCCATCTGTCCAGAGGGTCTCATGTTTG